ACGGGATTGGACAGCAGCGGCAGCATCCAAAGAAACTGGAGGTGGCGCGCAAGTCGGAAGCGACGTCAGTGCGTGCGGCTGCTTTGGCTATTGGCTTCAGTGGCTTTGTGCTTCTGGCGGTGACCATCGCCGCAGTGGTGATACCACCTGCTTGGGCCGCAGCGGCAGCGGTCGGGCGCAAACAAAGTGCGGAGGGGGAATGATATACAACTGCGCTCCCAAAGGGGCTCCGCACTCAGGCCGCAATAAAGAGAGTAGTAATAATAATCTGCGCACTCTCTGCACTACCCCTCTTTGCCTTTTGAAATACGGAAAATAATATTTTTGCTTTTTTTTGCTCACCATTCGTGAGAAAAGCGATATCTGTGTGTTGGGCATGTGCCCTTTTTTGGGAACTCTGCGGACTAAAAAATGATTTGGCAGGAGGTAACTCCCGTCACCGCCCATATATATATATATATATGCAAGGGAGTGCGGCTGCCTGCGCTGAGGGGTGGCGGCAAGCGTCGTTGCAGCGGTTGCTGATGTGTGTTTCTTTGCCTTTTTGTCTTGAATTACCCTTCGCTTCTCCTGTTCGTTTTTGGTTGGTTGTGTGCGACAAGGTGTGTAGTGCTGCCTTCTGGCTCCGCTGCTGCGGCTGTGGGAGTAGTGCGAAGGTTGGGGCGCATGGCTCTGTGGCCACGGCGCTCCTCGTGCCTGCTGGCACGGAGAAGGTTGACGGTGCGCGGCTCCTGGGGTTGCTTTTGAGCGTCTTTTTTTTTGTCCGGCACGACTGGTTCCCACCGCCATCGCATGCCACTGTGGGAAGATGCCGGCAGACTGAAGCGGCTGCGTCGGTGTGGCTATTGCCGGCGGCTAGCTGCTGTGTGCTCCTCTGTGCTGTCGCGAGGTGCAGGGGGCGCGCGGGAAGGCCATGCGGGGCGTGCCGTGGTGCGCAGCAGAGGCTGGCGATGGGAAGGCTCCGCAGTTTTTGAAGCGGGGCACGGCGTTGGCAGGCGTGTTGCTTCTTTTTGAGCTGCGGTCTTCCTCACATTTCAAGCCTTTTGGAGGAGCGCACTGCCGCACTGACTCCCACAAATTTTTTCTCCCTCTTTTCTTTTCTTTTTCGTTGCGCACCTGCAGGCCGACACAAACACGCGCCCCCACGATGCGCGCAATGCCGCGGGTGTGGGTGGTCCTTTCGCGGTCGGTGCCTGCACCGTGCCGCGTTTTTCGGAGGCTGCTGCCGTTTCCTTCCGCGGCCATGGCGGAGGGGAGGCGAGAGAGCAGGAGAACGCACAGAGTGACTCACTCTCCTTCGTTGCGGGGCGTGCGGCGGTGCTGGCTGCGGGGCGCTGCTCCCACCTCCTGCAGCATGGGCTCGGCGGTCTGCCGCCTTTTCTTTACTTTGCGGCTCCCTCTCTGCCGTGCTCTTTACTACCTCCACCGCTGCCTATTCCCCTCTTGTTTCTTTCTTCATTCCCGCTCCCTCACAGATATCAGCTCACTGCCTCCAGCGACTCTGCTGCTACTATCACCGCTAACACCACGACAGATGGCAATGGCGACGGTGCGGCGTCGTGCGGTGTGCGCCCTGGCGATTCTCGCGCTGCTCTGCGGCTGCTGCTCCCTCGTGTGTGGGGCGAAGCCAACGGCCAAGAAGGTGGTGAGTGTGCAGGTGTCGTGTGCGGGTGCGGACAGAAAGGCAAGTTGGCGTGTTCCTGGCGAGCAAAAATGGGAGAAGTGTGGAATAACTGTGGATGACTCCATGGGATTGAGTGGAAAAATGGAAGATCCGAGGCACTACCTCTGCGCCTGGGTTGCAGTTTACTACAAGAACACCAAATGTTGTGGGAAACCTCCTGCATCCACAGCAAAGACCACAACGTTCACGATGAACTGCACGACGGATGAGGACGGCATGTTGTATAAGCGGTGGCTGAAGGCGAATAAAGGCGACACGTCTTTTACTGATTCGAGCAGCGATCCATATGTCATGCTGAGTTGTCGCGATCCCGCGTCCCGTGGATTTTTACGTGGGGAGGTAAATGATGCGCCTGAGGAGTGCGGTGAGGAAGTTGTGGAGGAGGCTTTGCCGGGAGAGGAGGCGAAAGACGAGGTGGCGATACACCGGGAGGGCGGAGGAGAGCCCCAACGCCGTGAGGGAGAACAGCGCGAGGGCCCAGCTCCCACAACGCAAGTGCCTGCACCTGCCGAAAGGGCTCCGGGGGCGGGTGGCGAAAGGGCTCTGCAAGACGCTGGCGATGGACATCCGACCGCCGCAAATGGTGCTGCCAGTGGGGGCGGGGGTGCAAACGACGCTCCAACCGCAGCGAAACGCGCGGATGGCGGTGCGGCCCCGGGGGCGGCAGCCCACCAGCCACATGAATCCGGACGGACGCAAACGCCCTCAACCTCTCAAGACGAATCCGACGCGCCCGGCCCCACCCCTTCCGCTAGCGGCGCTGATGCAACGCCGAGGGCAACTGCAGCCACGCGAAACGGCACCACTGGGGAAGTCATGGCCAATTCTGCGGATCTCAGTGTCATTTCCACTCCGTTTGTGCGTCCCGCCTTGCTGCTGCTGCTGCTCGCTGCTGCCCTTGCCGCCCATGGCGTGTGCTGAGAAGCAAGCGCACGCGCACGCACACTTTGGCAGGGGCGACACGCACCATTTCTGCGCCCAGTTTCCTTGTCGTCCCTGTGGGCCAACCTCTCTTCTGTGTTCGAAAGGGTGTTTTCTTTTTTTGTTTTGTTTTGTTTTTTTGCTTTTTTTGTTCCATGCACATTTCCAGTGGGTGGCGCTCCCCTCCGCCTCCTGTTTGCCGCAGCCATATCAGCGCACACGCGGGGCCGAGTATACGATGCAATGTGAACGGTGCGCGGGCACCTGCAACCAGACGGCCGTTTTTTTTGTTTTTTCTTCCAGGTGACGCATGTACAAATACACACGGACTTCTTGTGCTTCTGGATGCGTGAAGTGAAAAGCACCTGTCGAAGTAATTTTTTTTTGTTTTATTTTCGTTTTGTGGGAGCTCTGCTGGGCTCCCGCTTTTTTGTTTGTTCGCTTGCTTTTCTTTACTTTTCGGAGGCAAGCCACCGCGGCCTGTTGCCGCTTCTGCCATGTTCACCGTCGCTGCGTGTCTTCGTGTTTTGTTTGCTCCCGCTGGCGGCTTTTTTGGTGGAATCCCCTCTCTTTTACTCTTCTTCCTGCTAGTTGCATGGATGGCGCTCGATACCCGGTAGTTTTTCTGGCGCGGACGCCGTGTCCCGGTGCGTCGGTGTGTGAGAGCCGCGCGGCCCGGCGTCCCTTTACTGCTGCACTCCGTTGGTATGTTCGCCGCTGCCCGCCCAGCCGGCAAGCTGCCGTGGGCCTCCGAGTGAGGGGGAAACACCGCCTTTTGGCGCGATTCAAGTGGGGGTCCGAGTGGCGATGTTAACGGCGAATCGGCGCTTTAGGGGCGCACGTGTGCTCGTGCCGCCCGCGCCCGTCAGTTTTAAATTCCCCAACGCAGTGGGGTTCATTCGGCATGAGGGCGTGCGCCCACAACACCGGGCCCGCACACCACGCGTGCGGCTGTGGGCATGTCAGTGTATTTCCTGCTGTGTTAGCCCGATCACCAGGCAGCGGCGCGAAGTCACACAGGCGCGAAGAATGGAAGGAAATTGCGCCCGTTTGGGGGACAGAGGAAGAGACGATGGGGCGGGGGCAC